TGCACCAAGCAGCTCCTAAACACTCAAGTTAGGCAAGTGAGGAGGCATCAAGGCTCAACAATTACTTGGGGGCAGGTGAGGTCTCTGTGTCTGTCCATTGCAGAGGAGGAAGGGGCTCGGATAATGTCCCTTTTGAGCTGAAATGGCTTTCCGTTGGCCTCGGGATAATTTTGGATCTGCTCAGTATTGTTTACAAAGCACGTTGTTCTCTGGACTCCTCTGGTTATTCATCAAAGCCCTGTCCCTCTATCCTCCACTTCAGTCACATTGAACCAGCACTATTCCTTCTGCCTGAAAAGAACTTTTCTCCCATCTCCTACTTTTCCTTCAAATACTAATGTAGGCTTTCCTGACTGATTCCCCAAGACTAGGTACGAAACTATGGTTAAAAGAATGAATGAGCCCAGGGACAAGGTATGACGAAAAAAATTAAATGCTACTTTCCATTTTTCTCTATTTCAGTCTTTTATTGTGCAACTCCATTTTATTTTTAAAATATAATAGCATAGCCATAACCATTTTCAGGATAGCCCCAACTAAGCCTAAAACATTTAAGGTTTGGAAAACCTTACAGTGAAGCCAGATATTCCAAGTGAGAAAGGCATTAGAACAGTGAAGCCAGATATTCCAAGTGAGAAAGGCATTAGAAAAGGAGGTAGGTGCTAAGGAAAAGGGCTAATAGGAAAACATAATTACATGGTCTGGATTACTTCATCATGAGACAGTATGTAAATGTTCATTCATGAAACATTATTTACAGGTAGCTATATTATTCAATTGAACTGTTATACTCCTGAATAGTAGATATTAAATAGTCTCAACTTATCAGTTAGAAATTGAGAAAAAAATCTTCCATTGTCAATTTGGGCACAGGTAAGAAGAAAAATTGGGAAAGCAAAAAAAGAAAACATTTAAAAAGAAATCATTTAAAAAGTATTATTACATGGTGATTTGTTAAAGGGTGTTTCATGGTTCCAGTTCATTGAGTTCTTAGTAAATGTTCTATATCATTTTTGATAAAATAGATATATAACCTTGAGTACTAGAGTGGAAAGAAAATAGTAGAATTCAGAATGTTAATTCCCAATGTGATAATTCTAAATAAATCTCCCTAAAATATTACTATAGATCCTAAATTGATACACTATATACTTGATACATTTTCTTTTTAAATATAATTATCCTTCCTTCTTACCAGTATAATTTATGACTTTATGTAAATGTACATATCCAAAAATATGTGCTTTCAAACACAGGATATATATAACACATATATATTGTCCTGAACTATCTTTATTATATTTTATTGAGTGAACCAAAATTGAAAACAAAAAATGTTCAGCATACTGTGCCTATAAAAATTATAAATTTTAAATAATGGCTGCTTTAACATAAATTTATTATAATTAATAATAGTTAACATATTGTTTAAATTAAATAAGTTTATACTATGAATAATAAAATACCAAGAAAAATATAAATGGAAATTATAAAGTGTACTAAACCATAACAATTATATTAAAGAGAATTCGTACATGTAACTCATATATACCATTTATTAATGTATATCATATAATAAGAACTTTTTAAAGGAAACTTCTAAATGGTTTCTAAAAATTATTTTAACATGGACAATTAAAACTGTGATTTGTTTAACTATATATGTCTAATGTACAATATTAATATTTTAAGAGACACATAACAGAATTTTTGGTCAAGATGGGGGGTAGGTAAACACTGTGCTTGTCTCCTCCCAAGACCACATCAAAATTACAACTAAACTGCAGAACAACCAGCAATGAGAACTGCCTGAAGTCTAGATGAACAGAAATATTATAACTAAGGATATATAGAAGAATCCGCCTCGAGACTAGGAGGAGGGGCAGAGATGTACCCACATGTGGCGGTTAAAAATTGGGAGGGATATCTCAGTTGAGGAGGTCCTCCTTCCCCCAGAAGAGTAAGAAGTCCTAACCCTACACCAGGCTCCTTATCCCAGGGATCCAATCCTGAGAAGAGAAGTCTCCACAGCTTCTGGCTATGAAAATCAGCAAAGACTGCAGTTGAGTGAGATGGGAAGCTGCTGGATTCTCAGGTGCTCCTCTTAAAGGAACCTGTGGACTGAATTACTCGCTGACAACGCATTCATTCTGAGCTCCCGCACTGGGATAGTAGCTTAAAAGGCACCAGGGACATACAAGGAGAAACCAAATGTCTGGCTTTAGGGCGAGGGCTGGAGGGGCAGCTTTATCCCAGATAGAAGAGCTAGCAGATTCTATTTCCTTTGTTGAGCTCTCCCCGATCTCAGTGTGAGACACAGGTGGCAGCCATATCTGAGTCTCCATCAACCTGGCTATAACTGGTTCCCCCCGCCCTGGCGATTCCCTAGGACTCTGCCCCTCCTAACTTCCAGTGGCTTTTCCATAAAAACGGCCTGTTTTGGCTCCTGCTGCAGACTTTTCTAAAATCTTTGAAAGGTTCACAAAACCAAGCAAGCAGCATCTGGCCTTGGCATGTCCTATACTATTTGCTGAGCAGTCCCAAGCCTGACGCCAGCGGCAACTGGCGTTGGTTTGTGGCTTGGCCTCTCAAAGTACCTCCAAGCCCAGCATGGGTGGTGGCCATTTGTGGAATGCTTAGTGGCTCATGCCAACTGGCCCTGGGCAGGGTACAGGCTGCAGCTAAACTTGGCCTGTGGTGGGGCTCCTCCCAGGAGGCCCCATGGCAGGCATGCCCAGTGGTCGGCTTCAGACCCAGCTGGAATACCACCCAGGGCCACATCCTAGGAAGACATACCCAAAGCGCAGACTGGGCAGGCACCGGAGCCCTTTAAAAGTGCATCCTGCTCTGTAGGTTCAATCCCTGCACAACAGCTCCTCTACTGTAGTCATGAGCAAGTCCTCACAAACAACCAGCCTAAGGGTCAGTCTTTACCACTGACGTGCACACAGCAACCAAGTCTTACCTACAATAGGAGGGCATACAAAACACCACACAAGGGACACATCTGGAGCACCCAGCTCAAGTGACCAGTGAGACTGTGCCACTTGGTCTCAAAGGACATCAACTACATAAGGCCACTCTACTAAGCCTGGGAGGCATAGCAGCTCTACCAGATACATAAAAACAATCACAGGGAGGCAGCCGAAATGGGGAGACAAAGAAACAGGACCCACATGAAAGAACAGAAGAAAGCTCTAGAAAAAGAACTAAACAAAATGGAGACAAGCAGTCAACCAGATGCAGAGTTCAAAACACTTATTATAAGGATGTTCAATGACCTTAGGGGCAGAGTAGATGAACTCAGTGGAAACTTAAAGAGCTGGAAAACATAAAAAAGAATCAGTCTGAAATGAAAAATACAATAACTGAAATAAATATCTTGGAGGGAATCAACAGTAGATTACATGAAGCAGAGGATCAAATCAGTGATTTAGATGATAAGGTAGCAAAAAACACCCAATCATAACAGCAACAAGAAAAAAGAATCCAAAAAAAATGAGGATAGTTTAAGGAGCCTCTGGGACAACATCAAGCATACTAATATTCACACCATAGGGGTACCACAAGGAGCAGAGAGAGAGAGAGCAAGGAATTGGAAACCTATTTCAAGAAATAATGACTGAAAACTTCTCTAACATGGTGAAGGAAATGGATATACAAGCCCCAGGAGCACAGAGAGTCCCAAACAAGATGAACCCAAAGAGGCCCACACCAAGATACAAAATTATTAAAATGCCAAAAGTTAGAGACAAAGAGAGAATCCTAAAAGCAGCAAGAGAAAAGTATCTAGTTACCTACAAGAAAACCCCCAGAAGACTGTCAGCTGATTCCTCAACAGACAAGAAAAGTTAAGGAGCTCATCACCGCCAAACCAATATTACAAAAAATGTTAAAGGAAAATCTTTAAGAAGAAAAACAAAAGATAAAAAAATATGAATAATAAAATAGTAATAACTACGTCTCCATCAACAATTACTCTAAATATAAATGCATTAAATGCTCCAATCAAAAGATAGGGTGGCTGAATAAATAAGAGAACAAGACCCTTACATATGCTGCCTACAAGAAACCCACTTCGGATCAAAAGACACACATAGACTGAAAGTAAAGGGATAGAAAAGATATTTCATGAAAATGAAAACAAACAAAAGCTGGGCTAGCAATACTTAAACCAGACAAAATAGACTTTAAAATAAAGGCTATAATGAGACAAAAAAGTACCAAGTAGTCCTACTTCTGGGTATTTATCTGAAGAAACCCAAAACACTACTTTGAAGGGAAAAGTAAATCCATATGCTCATTGAAGCATTATTTACAATAGTTAAGATATGGAGGTAACCTAAGTGTCCATCGATATATGAATAAAGAAAATGTGTGTGTTTGTATACACAGACACAGACACAATGGAATACTATTCAGCTATAAAAAAGAAAGAAACTTGCCATTTGCGACAACATAGATGGACTCTGAGGGCATAATGCTAAGTGAAATAAGTGAGAGAAAGAAAGAGTATGATTTCATTATATGTATAAACTAAATAAA